TTTCTAACTGATTAATTATATGGACATTTCAAAACCTCTCAGCAATGAAGTTGGCCTACAAATTGATATTTCTAGGTCTCTATCTTGGTTACTTATGTGGCTCTGTTACTGTAGGATCTGAGAACATCCCCACCTTTTAATGCATTTGTCATCACATCACCCCTGGGAGGTACAAATAGGGAATTGGGGGATAGAGAATAAGGGCCAGGTTGTCAAAGGTCTTTAGAGCACAGAATTAAATCTAGGTCTCCTAAATCCCAGGCTAACTTCCTAAATGCTGGACTAGGACTTGTAACATCCTTTGCGTGAATGGTTTGACCCTTCTGGATTTCTGTTGTGTGTGAACCCAATACCACTATCTAATTATGCCCACTACACATCCCTTCCACGTTGCAGGACAGAGAGCCACTTCATTGGCCTCTGGCACAGTCATTTAGGGTGCCTACTCATTTCCATTAGTTCTAACTAGTGCATCAAAAATGCTGCTCTTCTTCTTTCTTTCTATCCATCCATTGATCCATCCAACAAGGCAGTGCATCACCATAATAACTGAGTGCTATTTATGGAAAATTGATAGCAATAGAAAAGGCCTTAGTGAACTTTGTGGAATCCCTGTCATTTTTTACTGTTTGGGGGTAAAACTCTGGAGTAGGGCTATTGTTTGTTTTTAATTTTATTAATTTATTGTTTGTTGCAGTTTTTTGCAGTCAGTTTGTTTCAGAAGTTGATTGGTTCGTTGATTATGTTGTCTGTTTTTGTTTGTCTGAGCTTTTATGGGTGGAACAAAATATACTTACTTCCAAAGTATACAAAAACTTGACTGAGGAGGTGTGATGTGGCCTATTTTAAAAACTTTATTATAGTCATCAGTTTTCTTCTCTTTCTCTCTCAATTTTTAATATATCTAAAATGATTATACTACTTTATAAATTCAGGGTTTTTTTCTTTTTGAATGAAAGCTGTTTTACTTCTCAGCCAAATTCAGAAATCTAGGATATTTTTCCACACTCATAAAAAAAGAATTTGGTTTCGTATAATTCCTTTTATATTCAAGATCGTATCCCAAACCGTTTCACCAAATAAAGAGAGAGATATCCTTTCTGTCATGGTCACCTACCCTGTGCAGTGCAGTGACCAAATACAATAGCTATTATGCATTCAACAATAGCTCACAAAGCCATGAGCATATACATTTCTTCTATTAAGAGAGGAAATATTAAGAAATATTCTCTGAAGAGAGGACAATAGAGATCGTCCTCTATTCTCTTTCAATGATGCTATAAAATGTTTAACTCTATCCTGGAAAGCCACCAGAAAATTGGGAAAAGGACCTAAGATTAGCACCTCATATAAAGAGTCACACCTCTAACAGTACAGTATCTCCAGTATGTCTACACTACGGGATTAATCCAAATTTATATAATTCGAATTTGGAAAACAGGTTGTATAAAGTCGAAATGTATGCGGCCACACTAAGCACATTAATTCGGCGGTGTGCGTCCAAGTACCGGGGCTAGCGTCGATTTCTGCAGCGTTGCACTGTGGATAGCTATCCCATAGCTATCCCATAGTTCCCACAGTCTCCCGCGCCCATTGGAATTCTGGATTGA